TATAACACAGGAATGAACCATTGCTTTTAAGGTAAGGAGACTTTTGAAAACGCACAGTAATTGTATCTATTTTGCGGGGTCCTTGCGACGGCTGTTGAACTTGAGTCATAAACATTCACAAAATCTTGGATATAGAATCAGGGATATAATACAGGCGACGTGTTCTATGTTGCATACTATTATCAGATTGTAAAACCATATGGAATGTAATGAGTCCTTTAAACAGTGTACATGCGTCGCGCGCAGGCCTTTATTTTCTTGGTGCTCATGATTTTGTTATAAATTTGTTATTGTTTACCCCTTAATTTTTGTCTGCACGGGTGCTTTTAAAATAAAGTGGAATAACATAAAATCTAAAATGTATTTTAAAAAGATTTAGAAAGACCGTACACAGTTAACTAAATTCGTATAAGAGTGGTCTTGAACATTGTCCCGCGATAAGGCTTGTGCATAAGCGGCTTTGAATCACCGTTTCCGCATTGCAGTATTATTAATGCTTCAACTCCCTATGTAAATGCAAAACAAACCGAAAGTTTACTTTACTCTAAAGTTTCTATTTCGTCGGGTTGTTCAAGCTTAAGTTATCTTCCTTTTGTTCTTGGTCTTTTTTAGTTTACACAATGTACATGCATGATTAACACGATAACTATAATTATACGCATCTCTTCAAATGCACAATATCAAAACGAGGAAATAACACTGTGATGAATGGATGCTAATGTGTACGAGAGTTCAGTGGCGGTTCTGCAGGGGGGGGGGGGGGGGGGCTTTAGCCTTATTTGTCTAACCCCCCCCCAAAAAAAGCCCAAAACTGATAAAACTGATAAATCGTTTATTTAGCGCCACTGCGCATGTCTGTCATCACGCGAGGAGCCAGGCGCGAGTAAGCTGGGGGAAGTAATCGAACGCACTCTATGTGGACATGGAATGGTTGACCCTAACCCAAGTCACCAATTCAATTGGTCCACAGGAGGTTCCGGACCAGTAATAAGCCTCTGTACTGATGACGTCACATGTGCACTTTCCTATGGAACCAGTGGGGGCCCCGTGAAGGCAGTCCGCGGCGTTTTAATGGCTTTACTCACAGTGGTCAATATTGAGCCAGTATACGATGGATTTCAAAAGAAATCAAAGATAGAAGATAAGACTTTGAGGAGGGCGGTATTTCAGTGTGAGCCGATAATATCTAATGACTTGCCGATCCTTCCCTACGAACATGGCGCAAATACGCGGAGAGAAAAGGGTCAGCATCAATATTATATACATTGTGAAAATCGTCGCATGGGGGCGCTGCGCGTAACAGTGAGATAGTGTGCAACCTGTGAAGTCTCAAAGGGATATGGCAATGTTTTATGCCAAAAAGTGCTGTAGTGAATACATGTACATTACGTCTATAGGACTTGGGATAGAAGGGGGAAAAGAAGAAATAAAAAACCTGAACAAAAACAAAAGCTGTTTCGGAACTCTGTGAAAATACAGGCAGTAGAACACCATTGAAACATCCGATGTCAAGATCCATTCCAAGTCTCTTCATACATTGCGTTGAAGCAAAACCTATAGGAGGCTTGTAATTTGAAATAATTTCAACATGACTGTGACGGATGTTTAAATTGAATGGAGCAATAATAAAGTGGACAGAAATTTGCTAAATTGAAGTCTTGATTGATAATAGGGTTAGACTGGACTGGGGAGGGAGAGGTGGCAGATGTTTATTTCTCCTATATTGGCGATTGGGGGATGCTAAAAGGGCATAGTTTTCGTGGGGAAAATCCTGAGAATTAGTGTAATTTTTACAGTCCTCAAGACATTTTTTTAATTAAAAAAATTGCAGCTTGCCAAAACAAATTGAAAATATTGCAGCAAATTCATAATTCATCCCTTTGCTTTCGTTCTGTCATTTTGTGAAGGAGGGGGAGGAGGATCTCGACGGAGATTTGGAAAATTATCAGCTACAAAACGGCCTTTTTATTTGTCAAGTGTTCTTTGTGTGCCTGTGTTGATTATGCATGACGCTATCAAACTTATAGAGGGCGCTATGATAAATTAACAGTCACATCCACGATGGTTGGATAGAGTACATCGATAATTATAGCTTTATAAAGACTATTCAGAGTACGAGGGATCGGGCATTCAACATCATGACATTGTGATATGCATTCGATTCAGTGCTAAACAGAAATATCACAGTGAAATATATTAATAAAAAAAGCCAAAAAGTCAACGACAAAAAGTCTGAACAACAAATTCCCGTAATTTTGCCAGCATTTTATTGAAAGCTCTTCATTATTAATTCAATCATATCTTACCACTACATGGGTCGTGATTTTGTTTACAATGCTCTTTGAAGCAGGCCTGTCCCTATATACCTTAACCGTTGGATGTTTCTCAGAGAGTGCTCATTCTTATTATACATGTATTTTAGGAACAATAAATGCTCAACTGGTTTACTCACGCCTTTCCAGGCGATACGAAACCGTTGCCCTCTGCCTTAACGCACGAGATCTATTGTGTACAAAAACACCAAGTAGCACTAGTTCATTAAAAACAGTTGACTGCAAACAGTACTGGAAATTATCTCAGAGAAGCAATAAGTATTAGTTAAGCATTCCCTGTGCTATTTTCAAGTTTAATTTCACTTCGAAAAAAATTGAATTTATTTTCAATTGCAATATAAAAGTTAATTGCTTTTTTGAAAGAGACGCTGAACAAAAAAATAATTTCTTCACAAAATTCGAGTTATTGGTTGTGAGAGAATATTTCGGCTCTCGCCGTGTGGGTTACTTGTGGAAAAAAAAATGAAATCCATATTTCAGAGATATACTATATTAGAGAGTAATTAAAAAATACCAATAAAAAATTTGTTAGGAGGGAAATAATATCAATTTTTAAGAGGAAAGGGTATGATCTTTAAATAAGTTGCAATTCTGTTACACAGCCAGGCTTAAAAGGGCAACTACAGTTCTTCCAGTCTGCGGAGGAATTATCTCATTAGTGAAGATCCTTCACCTGTTTCTAGCACCAATTAAGGCTCGAATCAATAATGTATATTCCATGCCAAAAAGAACAGTTTCATTCGAAATGAAAGCTGTTAAAACCAGTACTGATGAAGCGTACCGAATAGCCGACTTTGATCAAAGCTGGGCAAAATTGGTTTGTTGGGAAATTATGTCCTATTTTAGTCAGGCTTAAAACGAGACTACATCGGGGTCAGTTTTCATGCATGCCATACTAATTTTCCCTTTAATTCTTTTCATTACTGATTATTTCATTACTTTCATTATTGTAAAATTACATGTACAGGTATATTATTCTGAAATACACATGTTTATTTTGAGAGCTTGGGAATATCAGACTAGATAACTAAAATGCAGAAAAAAAACCTGTCTCGCGTAAATTATTTTTAGTTTTAAAGTAGCTGTGGGTAGTAAAATACTGTGGTATATGTTTTAGGTATTAAAATTATCACAAATACAACCCTGATGACATATCTTGTTCGTTTGTAACCAATAGACCTTATGCATAGCGGACATTTTAGATGCTATTTTTTTAATTTTAATTCAGTAACAATGAGTACCCAATGACATACAATTCAGTCAAGCATATCCAAGCAAAACAAAAGCATTGCCCTCTAAGATGGCTGCTACGCAAAAGGGTTATAGCCTACTCCATATTCGCCAATGCACCTATGCCCCACCCTTTATAAGGCTTGGGCGTCGTACATCTTTTTGTACAGGAAACGCGAAGTTTTGCGGATAGGTTTGTGTAAATACTACATATAACATTCTGAAACCAGATTAGTCGTGAAATCGAGCGAAGATGATTAGGTGCCTTTTTGGAGTTACCCTGGGTAAATAGCTCAATATTCTACTCCGCAAGTTTGTTTATTTTAATAAAAGCTCAGCTGCCTTTCCATTAATGCATTTTTTTGTAGTCCGTTTCGTGTCTGTTAAGCAGTTTCGCCTTTGGTGCACAAGCATCGATGCACAAAAAAACAAAAAAGCAAATGAAAACAAAATATCCTCTAAAGGCGACCTTTTCTACATTTTCTCGTGAATGTTTTACAAGGGTGTCAGTTTCTGACAATCTATTCCCGTCATTTAGACAAAAAAGCCGTGAAATATAAATCTTAAATCGTCCTAAAAAGTCTGATCACACCCTTTTTTTAAAAATACTTTTATACTTTTTTTTTTTAGGCTTACGTTGCGAAATATTATGGATTTAAATTAAAAAGCCTCATCCCCTAATATACAAATTGTTACATAAAGTTTAATATGAGAAGATATCGAATTCAGCGAAAAAATACATATCAAACTTTCAAGATGCATATAAAAGTGCTAATCCAAAAGTCTATCAGCCTCATTTTCGACAATGCAATATTTCAGCCAAGCATTTTTATACAAAATATATGATGACAGCGTATATTATTATATCCAAATACGTGATCAAATAGTTACAAAAATAGAGACCCTGAAAACAAACTGTATAACGTTAATTATCCCCAAAATAAACTGTTTAATACTTGTATCAAGAATATAGCTTTAACAACTTGCATTAGCAAAAATTATAGCTTGTGTTGCAACAGAGAAAACAAAAATATATAGCTCTGGGTAAAATATTATAGGCTAAAACGGGTTACACTTAGTTAAATACATACAAAATGTACTCCCAGTCATGGGAGGGGAATTGACAACCAAAAAGCTCAATCTAGTTTCTAATGTTTCTGTCGAGAACAGTACATTTTGGAGAGATAAACACTGTACTTTTTAAAAATCTTCCATTTCACCAGATTTGATACACCATGTGCGGAGAATCCAAGGGGATTTTGAACCGGTGGTCTCTAGAATAAGATGCTAACGCTGTATTGACTGAGCTATGCAGAACTAATGCTGACGATCTCCCAATTTATCTAAAGTTTCTGTGGGTACACTATGGTCATTTTTGTGTAGGCCCTAACTGAGACAAGTCACATTTCAAAAATGTGATATCCTTGGCGTTCTACCTTACGCGATAGAGTCCAGTCCAGCTGAGGGTGTTATGGGCTCATAGATTCTAGTAGAGTCCAGCATGGCCTGAATCACATCGTAACACAGTGCGTATTGGTCCTGGTAAAACGAACAAATGGTAAAATTCATCAGCTGCTCTCTGAATGAGAGCAAAACTAAGGACTAGCCGATTTAGAGTAAAATCACTCTATTTAATGATTAAGTTCGCTGAAAAAAGGGGACTCAATTAGATTTAATACACTCAATTGAAATTCACCCTAAATTTTCTGGTCCTAGTTTTAGTCGTTGGGGCAAAATGTTCACTCGAAATCTATCCAATGAGAGCTCAACGAGATTAGCTCTTCCCAGCGTCCTGTTTGCAGGGCGGGGAATACGAGGGAACATGATGTGATCATCGAAAACGCGACGTGATTAGATCGTAAAATTTTCACGCATGCGCATGTAGCCCACCATAACAAAGGAGGTCGTTAACGGCTGCACGTGCCTATCTCTCATTTCGTCTTATGTACTATTGTCAGTTTTTGGCGTGTAAGTTTCGTCTTTTTCTGAACGTTTGTACACAGCAACGGAAGACAGATGACAAAATGTAATGCTGACAGCTACAAATACGGCAAGAAATTATCGACCATAGGGGAATATGTACAGATCTTAAACTTGTATACGTTAATAAATGTATAACGCGGAATGGGCAACGCGGTCAAGCTAGTTACACAGGCTGCCTCAATAAAAACCGGCAACCTGGTCAATTGCAGAAAGCCTCAACAGGCAACTACTTAATGCTATCCACCGTCCAAGGCCGCGAGAAATATTACGTGTGCAAATGAGAGAAGTGTAAAAGTGAAGAATATTAATGCTAGAGTAGGCCCAATACGAGTACCACAATGGCCGTCTACTACAACTACATAGTGAGGAAAAACGCAGTGTTCTGCCTTTTTTTTCAAAGAAAAATATGTCGAAATAGTTAATGATACCCAACAACTTTGTGTACAGCTAACAATTGTACCTCTATATCTGCAAAAGATATGTCTTACATCTGCCAGATAAATGTTTAAAAGTATGATGTAAGATGGTGGGTATGACATCATAAATAAAAGTAAATCAAGAGTAACTTCCTTGGAGAGAGAGAGAGAGTGTGAGCACGACACAATACTTACCAGCGAGTTCATCATGTTTTGGTTTACCATGCGCAGACGATGAGCTGCTTGGAACACGTCCACGACTTTCTCGACATTGAACTGTTCCAACAGCGTCATCAACGTGCAGTACACAGAAGTACTACCAAGACCATCCCTAGAAAGGCAAAAAGAAAATATGAAAATAACAATGAAACTCAATCAAATTGAATTCATAACAACAACCAATACATACGTTTTCATTATATGATGGTCATCTTGAGTAACTGTTAACATTCTAAAGATGTCAAATAACTCTTGAACCAGATAACTTGAAAACTTGAATCAGAATAATCTCTTAACAAGGATCTGAAATAATTTAAGAAAAATACTATCACAAGGTATAAATTCTAGACAAGAATATAAAACACAAGGTTGGAATTTCCTTAAAAGAAACAATAAAAGGGATTAATATAAGATTTACTTACGGCGACATGCACCTCAGAGTTAATTGGTTGTACACATTCAAGCAAGTACTGAAGACAAAAGTCCTCTTCAATAATATTCAATATTAAAATGTCTTCATATCTACAAACTTTTTCTTTCACCTTTTTCTCACTATTCAGACGTTCTTTAATTTTTTTTTCGTTACAGTTGCCAAATTCCGCGAGGGATATCGAATGCTTGGCTTCTATCTAAGTTTTGAGCCAGTAGGTTTAAATACCTGAATAGGCTTTGTTTGGCAAAATTCTTCTGTTTTGGTACCTGACAGAAACAGATTAAAATCAATAAATGTAGAACTATCCAAGTCGAACCCGGACCCAGCGGCCCAGACATAATGTAATACTTTTTAACAATACTCCTCACACATCTAGAATTCCCCATTCGACTTACATGCAGTGGACAACAATAGGTCCTTTGTCTCCGTTCCACTTTCGAGCGAGATCCATGAGAGTCAGCATTCCTGGCACGGAATTCGGTATCTCCTGGTCGGAGGGCCAGTTGTGGTATTGGAATTGGATGATGGTGCGTGCTTTCTCAGACTGTAAAAGATGTAAACTCAGTTTTGCAGCTAATGCACAAGCATTAGCTGCAAGGCTTTGACTAGTAAAACCTAAATATCCACCAAAAGGCCAGGCGATGTGTTCGGCGTGTAATAATTTTCTCTGGTGATTCTTGCTCGGCAAGTTACTTTGCTATATTTTCTACTAAGCAAATCGATGTAATTGGCATCTGGACTGAGGTAATGTATTTATCAATTTTTTTTTGAATTTTGCAACTAGGGTATCACATTATAGCGTGAAATTTGCTTAGCACCAACAATTTGCCCACTAAGTGCAATTTATTAGCCTCCTTACATCACCACATTTTATGAACAGGCGTTTTTCAAGGGCTTGATGGGAAAGGAATCTGCCTTTGCACTAGAGATACAATCTCCAAAGTGCTAATTAGGGGTTGGTCTGACCTAACCAAATAATATTAGAATAGTTAATGCTCAGTGCTCTCCGAGAGCATTAAAACATGTTTAGCAAGCTTTGGGACTGGGAACATAACATTCATGCTAGCCTTGACCAATGCTGTCAAGCCAAGCTTTTTCCCTGAACTGTCCGGCAGCCGTTTTACCCTACTTGTCACGGCAACGTACGCCGCTAGCAGCCCCCTGGCTAGCTCCGCTTGCCTGTACTGTACTTGTCACGGCACACGTACGCCGCGCGCTTTGCCGGTACGTATACAGTACCTACGTACGTACGTACTACGTGCACCCCATGCAGTAACCAATACGCAGTCGCAGTCGAGGCGAAAGACTTCCGTGTGACTCCCACGGCATGGTTACTGTATACTGTACAAGTCATGTACATGTACTGTACATGTACGTGTACGTACGTCCGTGTGCGGATTTGTGTTAGGAGCACATCGCGCGCGCAGTACAGGCAATTCGCAAGCGGAGCTAGCTAGCCAGGGGCCGGGGGCTGCGAGCGGCGTACGTTGCCGTGACAGTAGCAACGACTGCCGGACAGTTCAAGGAAAAAGCTTGGCTTGACAGGACAGCATTGGTCAAGGCTACATTCATGCAAAACCAGTTCAGATATCATTTAAGGCATATAGGAACGTTTGCTTGTCATACATTTTGTTCGTTTCCAATAACACCACTCAAAATCCAAACAAGAATATTCAAAACCTAACCTGTGGAAGTTTAAGCTCAGTGGATATTACACTTCCAAAGAAAACGGTATAAACCCATGCACGACCTTTTGATCACGAAACACGATTTTGTCTATTAATATCTTTGTTTCGAAACAAAAATCATTCAATTGACTGACGGTTGGAATTCACCAACATTTCTTAATTTCTTCCCAATAACAGTAAACCAGACGGAATAATTTCACGATGTGTTTTAAGAACAATATAGGATCTTTCATATCCAAGGAAGCTTAATAATTCGGTATGTTACTTTTGGGATAAATGCAAATGATCATGTATGCAGTTAAAGTTTTGTGTAATATACCGCGTTATTGGTGTTCCTTAGCGTGAAGGTGCATCGTGTCACACTGTCGGATTGCTTGGTCTGGATGAGTTCGATAGACAGCTTGCCAAAGTTGATGGTTCCCTCCTCCGGCCAGTAGCGACACATGGTCTATAATCACAAGACAAACGAGTTATTTTAATACTAAAATCCTTGGTATTCTTTTGTTCACAGACGTTCTCTTAAAGCAATTTCTGAAAAAAGGTTATGACTTAATAAGAAATGTATCACCTAATAGTTTCTAAATGAAAAGAGAACAGCCCTGTCTTTGATTTCTAAAATGAGAATATTTTGTTTTCAAAATGAACAGGGAGATTTCATTCAAGAGCACACGAATCTTCTGCATCTCCTAAGAAAGATATGCACCCAAAGTATACAAAACCCTCCTGAAGTATCACGTACCAGCGAATTGGTAAGTTAGTAAATATTATAATTTAATTGGGAGACATTGCATGAACGTGTGCAGAAACAATTCTGAAATGTTATGACACTTAACCCTAACCTACACTAAATAAATGTGGGTTTTGCATACTGAGGATTCGATTTAGGCTCTATTTGCGACATTAAACATATGTCCAGAAATAGGACTTGGATTATACCTTTTTGTCTCCCTATAAGCAAAAAGTGTCTCCCTAATAAGCCGTCTGCGTACTGAAATATCGTTAAATATCAGTCGATCATGCAAGGGGATATTTACTCGTATAATCCATATTAATATTTCATGATAAGAAACCATCGTAACTTTTGGAAATGAGATTGACATGAGCTGTCTTCATACCTTATCGTTGGCATCAAAGGTGTTCAGCATCACAATGCTGGTCGCTTTGTGGTCGTACATCAAGCGCCAGAAATCAGTGACAGTGTTGGGCATGGGCATCTGCGTACCGATGTACATGCTCTTTTTACGGTAGCCCTTTTGGAAAGAGAAATTTGAAAATCTTTTTAAATAAGTAATATTGTGTAGACATTTAAAAACAATGTGTTAAATCTTACCATTTTGCGCAACTCAACAGGGATGTCATTTTGTTAAAACATAATATTGTCATTTCTGTACATGACTAATACTACATTAAAACTACCGACAATTGAATTTGTTGAAGTTTTTTTCTGAGCTTCACCGCGAAACATTGCAATGTTTTCTATTTCACCGGTTCTTGAAAAAAAAACACCCTGAAACAAAATACAAATTCCTATAATTGTAGTAGTCGAAAATTGGAAGTCGTGAATAATTGTGGTACTCAGTGCTAACTGAAATAATCAGATACTTACTGGCAAAAAGGTTGCGTTGATGTAGTTGGTTTCATCTTCTTGGACACTGGTAAACAGATATGGTCTTGAGCGGTCACCTGAAAAGCAATCAATCATGATGAAATAATTAGTTCAAAGAACACGGATAAAATCTTCCCGAAGTGACAAATAGGTCATTTTGATGGTGGCAATGATGCATTGGAAAATGTAATAATGCCAAAATAAGTGATTCACTTAAATGATGAGAAGCATCAGGTGTTGCGCCATTAAGGGTTGGTCATACGGGTTTGTTCACCAATGTCATTTCGACAGCACTTGATCGCTAATAGTAGGCCTGTCGCGACATTCATGATACAGAAAGATATAAATGCATAGACGCTCAAATTATTGTCTGGACTCACTTGGTATAAAATCCGGATATCTGTTCTTGTCCTTGTTCTCAGGGAGCTGTCCTGACATATTTTCGACTTTACCTCGCCTGTCACTCAGCTGGATCAAAGTCTGAAAAAAAACCAATTGAATTGTAAAAGAAAATGCTGGGTGAGAAAATGATTTCTTGGCAAATTGTGATTTTCACTTGATTGATTTGCATTATAAGGGGAGACAAAGGGACCTACGTGCCTACTGATTGAAAACAGAAATCAAGCAGAAGGAATCAAAAGGTGCACATATATAGTTAAAACAGTATGATAATAGCCTCTTTGAGATAAGTTGTACACAGGTGTATTTGGAATGGGTACATTTGGTTAAGTACAGAAGAGTTTATCGACTCAAGAGAGCGCCCTCCCATTGTCTCAAACATAACATCCAAAATGGCTTCTAGCTTACCGCGAACTGTTTCTGAAGGCCTGTTTCCTTCACCCCTTTGTCCTTCTTTTTCAGAGCCGTCAGTTTCTGGCGGAAGTCTGCAACGCTGTAGGTCGTGTCTCCTGTCACAGAGGCAGCCAGAAGAGCGTCAAAGATGAACTTGTATTGCTCCTGAATACAAAAGATGCATTTTACAATTGATGAATTGTTTTCTAGAATTGTATTTAGCAGAATAAATGGCACGATCTAAAAGATGACAAGATTAAACTGCATTAACAAGTTGGTTAATGAAACGAGCACTTCTATCTTCTGTCTAGGTTCTAACTTCGGTGCTTTAGACTACATGCCATCGATACTGTATACCAAAACAAAAGTCACAACAGTTTCTCCTAATTTCTACATGCACTTCGCTTATTGTTTGATTGTTCAAAAGTATATTGGTAACTTACCGGTGTCTGCACCATCTTGATTCGATTCTGTCTCATTTGGTAGATGAAGCCAAGAACATCAACTTGTCCTTCCTGCGCCATTTGTAGCTGCATTGAATCAAGGGCGATGTATGTACCAGTGCGTCCCACTCCGGCACTGGATTATATAGGTGTAAACATCAATTCAAAAAAATGGCAAGAAAATGTGTTTTTGCGTATTTCATCAGATAATACCACAATTGGATAGATAAGTTTATCAAAATATCTGCCGAGATCCACAGTTTATTTATATTGACGAACAAAAGTATTATAGGAAGGTTTATACTAATACCAATACACGTTTAGATAAAACATGTAACCAAATATTGTTCTGCGTTTTAGCGTTGCGGAGTTTTACAGAATTATGTTAACAATATACTATCTCCTAAACTGCAAATTCTCTAATTCTGAATGTGACTTTTCTCCCTGCTACTATGAGTTAATTTTGCGATATCCTTTTTTGGGGGTGGGTGGGAATATGTTAAATGTACATTAATATGATTGGTTTTAAGCAAACATACATTACTCATGGAACAGCAAAACACTGAACATTAAAGATTAACATTTGAAATAACTTTAATGAAATGCCATATCCTGTACCATCACGCATTCATCACCAGTGTACAAAGCTTAACCGATAGAACACAAAACCCCGGATGTCATGACCTGCATTTTGAACAGGGCAGAGGTCATGACATCCAAGCCAACAGTGTGGGGGCGCTGTTCCATTGTAATTACTGATACATTCGACTTTACCTGCAATGCACCATCGTGCGTCCAGGGTTATGATGTCCATTGACCAATCGCAGGAAGTTGAGCAATGGTGCTGGGTACTCTGGCGGCTGCATGTCGGGCCAGGTGGTGTAGTGGAATTGCTTCAACGATCTGTTACTTTCTTCACAGCCAACCTGTATGAATAGTCAGTTTGCATTTAATATTCATGCTTCTCAACAAACTCAGCGCTCAGATTTTCTAAAACATTAATCCAGCCTTTTTAAATAAAGTCTTGGTATTTTTTTTTGAAATGCATTACTGTGTCACTTTACTGGTATAATGACATGGTTGTTGCTTATGTTTGTCAAAATAAACAACCCAATTAAAATTCCCCGCCCCCAAAACAACACTTAAGTATAATTTAGATCACGCTTTGTGCCACGCCGGCATCAAGTAAATATTATGATAAATCCAAAAATGAACCAAGCCTCCCTGACCCAAATAGGTCTGGAGATTACCTGGTGAATGCTGAAATTGCGAATGGTGTAATCCAGGAAGACATCCTCTTTGTCTGTAGTTACCACGATGCCTGAGATGGTGGTAGATCCGGTATCAGCCCAGTATTGAAGGCACTTCCTCTGAATACAGAAACAAATATATAAAATGGCTTGACCATGTTAGATAAAAGGATACCTTTGTTTAGATGAATTTAGAAATCAAATCATTAGAGAAATACAACGTGTTGTTTCTTGCTTTGTCGTAGTTCTTGTGTTATTTTGTTTCCAAGATTAATGCCTTTGGGTTGCTTTAATCTTTCTAGAGATTACCTTTTCCAATATCTTTCTATTTGTTAATAAAATTAAGCATAATTTTAATTTTCAATAACGAAATCACCAAAATAAAATAAAAATAAAAATCAACACTACCTTGCCGTTCTCAACCGGATTTGTGAGCATGACAATCTTATCGATGCCCAACTGCCAGACCATTCTCCAGATGTCTTTGATAGACGCCTTGTTGGCTCCTTCAAAGTAAATAACAATGGGTTAGTTAATACATTGCAGTAGCACCATGTATAGTCACATCTGTTTGTTCATTTATGTGGTTCTGAAAAGAAACAGTTTGGTAATTAAACAGTGTACTCTGTCAATAACAGTTGTTAGATAATTCGATGGTCGCATTACTCGATTTTATGCACGCCGAAATCAATCTACCAGACAAAATTACGTCACATTTGCGACTGCATTTACCTTGGCTGGCGACGTACTTGTTCTTCGTCTTGTATCCCTGCAAAGCAAAGGCAATTAAAAACGTATTGATTTATTTTAATTTGGCTCAAACTAACATCCCACAAGATAATTGATTTGATAACAATTTGTCAAAGAATCTTTGCAGCAAAATGTACTAATTCATATCTTGTGTTCAAACAGGTGATGGAAATAATTTCATTTGACATTTAATTTTCGTTTGAACAAATACGTCTGACTAAGTCTGGATTTGAACCTGCGTCAGCTGGAATACCTCATCGGTGTTTAACTTAGCTCAAACGAATTCATCATCAGATAACGGCTTACATTGATATAGCAGGCATTGATGTAGTCTGAATGGGGATCACCCTCCAAGGGGTCAAGTACAACACGGGAATGGTCATCTGCGTACAAAACATGGAACAAAGTTGAACAAAACAAAACTAAAACAATGACTCCACTTCAAACGATGCTTCTAAAAAAATGTGACATATTTTTTTTTACATCATATTGTATCCGGAAAATGGAGATGATCCTTATCTTACAAGCTTACATTAATTGCCACTTTAAATGTACTTATTTTCGCAACCTTTACAAACCTCCAAATTGACTGCATGGTTAAACTGTAAACTTTTATTGCAATGAACATTGTTGTAACAATTTGAACAATGCTGCATTAATATAAACAGTGCTATCAAATGTATACCAAAATAAACAGAAATACACACATGCAATGACATTGACGTATCGGTTCTTGGCCCTGTTCTCTGGTTTCGCTGCCACTGTCCATGGATAAAGTTGACCATCGGGAAGCGACTGATGTATACAAAAACAAATTATGTTTCATTATTTTATTAATGTTATAGTTGGTTTTCCACGTTTAGTCCAGTGTGCATATTGTGTGAATTTACCACAACAAAACTAAGTACTTTAGGAAAGAAATGTATCAGTAATGAAATTGAAATAGCTATACCCCAAAATGGATGAAAATAGAGACACGATACTTTACATTGTAAACACTGCGTCTTATACAGATGGCTTTCAGCTGACATAAAGTGCTAGACAAGTGACTCCTTTCTCTTGATCGGATCGAAAAATTGTTCAATCGGGGTACTTCGTAAGAGGCAAGTTGTGCGTGGTTTTATAAGGCGTATTTACCTTGTAGTCTGCTAGGAATCCGTTATCACCCATCGCCTCCTTCTGGCGGATGTATTCAGCAAGCTCTTCCTTCCGGACGGAAGGTGGTGGTACGAATTCCAGCTGTTCATTGCCCCCTTCTTCTGCTGATTGCTCTGGCCCGGCCTGCTTCTGGCGTGGTTTACGAGGGGACTTGGATTTATGGCGGTGGGGTTTATCGCTGACTGCTGCTCCATCGTTGACATTACTGTTAACTGAAGATTTTTTATCAGTAAAACAAAGACTGAATTACCGCTGTGATTCTTGAGAGTCACCATATGTCTTCAAAATAACTTTCTGGAAAGTGATTGCAGATTGAAGATCATTTAAAAAATAGCTATTAAACTTGACGCGACAACATAAGATATGAGACGCCACATTCAAATACTTAAATACTTAAGTTATTTTTATGCGAAATATTTACATGAAGTCAAAATATGTGTTTGTACTTGTCGGGTTGACTGATATCATTTTCCAAGTGGCTCAACCTGGAGTATACTGGATAATGTTGCACCTATTATATATTCAGTTCAAAAACTTGATATAACATAAATGTTTTTCAAAATGCACGAACAGAAAAATACATGTTAAGACGAGCAGAAATGACTGTTTTCGGTTTTGCAATTGTGCTGTCACTGATGAAGAAAATAAATTTGCTAAGAAATTGAAGGTTTACCGCGAGTCAAAGTTGGAGCCTTTGCGTTCAGTGGAATGTCAGATTCATCACTGTGTTGTTTTCCCTGTCTGGCTCTCCTCCTTCGAAAGAAACACCAATCAAGACAGGCAAATGAACCAAATTGATTGAATGGATTGATATAGCCTAAAACATCTGTACCTTTATTGCATGAAATATATTATTGTCTAAAGTATTCTAAAGTGGAAAAGGGATTCTTGGAGGAGGATCAAAGCTTGACAACTTTTCTTTTTGTCAAAGAAGAACTGTTGCAAAGTTATACGTGACAAAAGATAACAAGCTTGTTGATTTACTGTTTTGGAGCATGATACACAGGTTAGGTGTCAGTTAGTAGCTAGTTTAGATCTGTGACAATTTCTAATCAAGTTTCGTTTTTGATGGTTACCTCTTGTAGACTACAAAAGCAACGACAAGACCCAAAGCGAGGATGACAACGACGACCGCGACAGGTACTATCACGGCAACTTGCGAAGGGACTTCGAATTTCTTTGCTGCGAAACAAAGATCGACAAACACAAGGTTAGTCATGAAATATAGATACTACATATATGGAATCTTTCAGCAATCAAAGTGTTTCATTTCATCGTTCAGTCTGTCTAGACTGCACTTTAAAACTATTGACGGTGAACGCCATCACTTTGCAATTTGTCAACAAAACTCAAGGAAATAAAATATCTTAATTACTAGAGAAATATAAAATGACCAAAACACTAAAAATCAAAGATTGCGACAAGAAGCATTACCATACCTTCGATTAGGGTGGTCGCAAATACTTTTTCACTCCACGGACCTGCGCCAACAGACGTTTCAGCTTGCACCTTATGACATTTGAATAAAAGAGTATCATTATAAAAAATCGCGAAGAGTGTGATTTTATCCTGTTCTCGCATGCAGTAAAATCGGTCGTTTTTTTTTTTTTAAATAGCCTGCATGCAAGTTATGAATTATTTACTCATCATGTTAAACAGCACCCGTAAAAGAAAATACAATTTATGCCACAAAAAGTTGCTAGGACATACGGGCTTTTGAAATCAAACGTCTCCAGATTTTGATAATTCTGTTTAGAAATGACAAAGTATTTACCTGCAAGAAGTGTGTCTCATTCGTTTCAAGGCCCGTTATCTCATACATTAATTGCACCACATTGTTGATCAGCGTTTTGGTTCCTGACTGTCCACTCATCCAGTACCTAACGGTGTAATGGATGATAATTCCTTGTGGAGGGTCGGGTTCTGACCACTGGAGAGTGATGGATACGTAATCAACGTTCTGAATTGCAACATCTAAGGGTACTGTGGGCTCTGTGTGACCAACGATCAAGCAATCAGGGTGAAGTTTAAGAAGGCATATGCAAGCGTTAGTAAATGATGGCTATTAAAAAAGGCAGCCATTAACAAGAACTTTTGGTCAAAGTTTTAAGTAATGGTATTTTCAAACAGCACGTACCTGCTTCATTAGTTCTCTGATCGACAACGTCACTGTATGGCCCTGCCCCAGCACTGGTGTTTGCAGCAACTTGAAAACTGTAGTTAGTGAAGGGGATTAAACCATTTATCTCAACTTGTTCGGCTGTGAATACATTGAAGATGAGTCGTGACCCTGGTCCACTCAGCTTGTACGTGTAGCCTGTGATTATGCCACCTCGGCTTCCACACGCTGGCTGACTCCAGGAGAAAGTCAGGCTATTTTTTGATGTTGAAGTGACGGTAACTTGCTGTGGTGGTGCAGATGGCGCTAAAGGAAAATAGTTTAAGATGGATCAGATTGAATTGAGCTGATCCGTATGCGCAAAATTGTAGGTTTATAACTGGAAAAAGGTGTTACCTTTGGTGCTGGTATGAACACTTGTTGTAACTGTTTCTCCGGAGCTTTCATTCACTTTGGCGAAAATTTGTATCTCGTACATCGAGTTGGCGAACAGACCAGGTATCTTTGTCGAAGTAGTTCCAGAACAAAGACAGTGCTGGATGAAGGTAGGCGGGTTGATGGATTGGCAACCCTCTTTGTTTTCCAGCGCATATTGCACGGAGTAGTTGGCACAGTACACCTCACGCCAGCTGAGTGTGACACTGGCAGAATCGTAAGAAGTCACCATCACAGGGGAAACGGAAGGATCTGACACACACACACACACACACAAATATAACCCATGGAGCGTTTATTCGCAAGTTGTACTAATTATCATCATTGAATGCCCACAGCTGATAACTATCAAACTGGTAACACTCAGTGTTGTAGGCGAGTACCAAGTTTTCCGAGTACACACAGTGCCGAGTACGGGTCGAGTCCGAGCACTTTTAGTTGAGTCCTGGGCCAAAAATCAGAGTTCGAGTTTTTCAGAGTCCGAGTTCGAGTACAAAGATATCGAGTACATCCCGAGTACATTTTTAAACTAAAGCATTATGGAAATTAGCACCGTTACTTACATGTGATATGTAAAGTAATTACCCAGTATTCCAAGAAATTAACACGTACACATATTAAAAAGTGTTGTTTTTGCTTGGAATTCTTGATTTATTGACGATTTTCCTCATTCTGAAGGTTAGGACAAGAGTCAAAGGTGCTTATTGAAGTTGGAAGTTGTTCCAGACTTCTCCGAAATCTGCAGCCCACATGACTTGCTTACTGCGCTGTGCTGCTTCTGTCCGTTAGCGAAATATTCCTTGTGATCTCTAAACCCCCAAGATATAATTTCTGACAAAAAAACATGTCTACGTCTGGATCGAACTCGAAAATGTCTCGCGTTTCCAACAAAGAGTGGTGTGCACAACCTCCTCCCCACGGATACGATCTTTCCGCACCTTGTTAGTTAGAATGTGATGAACGCACATGCAGCCCATGGAAAGAAGGTTGCGATTTATTTCGCTGGTATTCTTGTAGTATTCAGTAGGAATAGGACAGTAAAAAATGTGCACCAGCGATACTGCGAGCGCTGCCAATACCCATTCACATATGCTCGATTTAGAGTCGATAAAGAATTAATACTTTCATCATTTTCATATACACTCTGTGAAATTTTGGTCAAAGTTTAGAATCGAAAAATTAGTATCGAAAAAATCCGAATTTTCTTTCGAGTACTGCGCGACTGTGATCGAGTTCACCGAGTACAATTTGTCGAGATAAGGGACGAGTCCGAGTACAAAATTACGAGTTCGTGCCGAGTTCTTGTTTTTTCGAGTACTTATGATCGAGTACGGGCCAAGTACTTATTGGTACTCGAGTTGTACGAGTACGCCAACACTGGTAACACTTAGTTATTGATTTCAGAAAAGTGGCTCTTTCTACTCACTCTCTTGTTTAAGCGTGGTTCCTGATGTCGACGCTTCAAGTCCTTGCGTACCATTGTACAGAGGGCGAATGTAAACCATATAGGTTGAATTAGATATCAAACCAGTGATGACACGACTGGTAGTTGGACCATCGATTGGACCTGGAAGTGACCTGGACCGCTGTGGAGATTCAATCTCTTCACATTGGCCCCTGTTTGTCAATGCATACTCCAGTATGTAGCCAGAGACACATGGATCTGGTTGCCAGGAAACTTGTAGTTGATATCGATCGATTGGCATCACTTTTAGTCCTAGAACGCCATTGTCAGCTACAATGGAAAGACGGGTGCAGCAATGACAGTGACCAGATAAAATGATCCGACAAAGTTATAATGATAATACAATGTACAACAGTTGAAGCAGTGTTACTGAAAAAATAGCATTGTACATGTTCATCCAGTGTAGTCTGTGGCCTCATTCCCTCTTTTCCCCCTGTTTTATCTGTAAGCTCATCTCCTTCCTCGAGAGGGTGCAATGTCATAATGTCTGTTTTGATTAAGTTTAGATAACGGGTCATAATCATACTTTGTGTAAATGAAAGAAATGTAATCATCTTACTAGAACACTGGCAGTTACTTCCGAAATAGAGTGGTATGCAATCTGGAATGAAAGACATACACTGTACATTTTAGTATATTAGTTTTTCCATGGTATAACGTATCTATACACTTGTTTAAATGTGTAAACATTCTTTGGGCTTCTCCCTATTACCCAAGTGTGTCCTTACAACTTAAGTTTACTTTGAAAAACAAATAATTCGAATACTTCAACTGTCGCTTCTGATTGTCATAGTAAAATATAATCCTTCAACAAGCTTGTTGCGATACAAGTCTGTGTTCTCTTACTTCCAGTACATTCTCCCGTATCCTTTTCGCAGGAATCGCCAGATGGACAGTGACATGTCTGCTTACAGTCGGCTCCATACTTCCCTTCAGTACATTCTAATTTTGATAAAAAAAAACTCGAGTGAATCAAGGTGGCAACTTGGGACATGAGATAGTGCTTGCCCTATGTCAAGACCGTTGGACAAGAACATTTCTGATATGGAAAGTATCCGCTCACAGCAAAATGGTCATTTCATGCAATAATAGGAGTTTCATGTCATTTGTTGGCAATTTGGAAACCCTTGGTCTTAAATTAAAAAAAATAGTGAACAACAATAGACCTATAGAAAACAATACTCGTCAAGAAACAGCAAGGCTCAACAGAGACTAATTGGAAAGAACATCTCTGATATTATCAATATCAACTGAAGAAAAAGCCAAATTAGAAAAAAAGTAGTTAGTTTGTTGGCAATCTGCAGATTCTTGGACTGAATATAAATATCAACGAGTACCCAACACGAAATAGTGGACAAGTTTTTGATAATTCCATAATACCTTGCATACAGTCTAGTCCCATATACCCAGCAGCACAGGAGCATCCGTAAGGATCAGGAAGACAAAACAAACGACCCCGGCAAGCGTCGTTGTGTGGATCAGCGCTATCAGAACAGGTATGACTAGCATTCTGGCCAAAGATGTGACGCCCGTGAACTGAATGTCAGAGAACGACATCACCAGAATTAAAATTAAAAGGTTAAACGGAAACAAAATATTTGTTACACAAGAAGAAAACTTAATATCAATATCATATGTTTATTGTTACCTTGCTGGCAATATTCTCCGCTGAATCCTGGAGCGCAGATACACGTTCCCGTCTTGTCATCACAGATACCTCCATTGTAGCATCGACGACATGTGTTCTGACATGAATCCTGGCCCCACATTCCTGCGGCACAACCTGTATATACATGTGTAGAATGATCGCAATAATGATATTTAGAAAACAAAATCTTATACTTTGAGGCAGTTATAGGCAGAAATGCTAAAGAAATACCTCTCACAATAAGTCTCATGAATCCATGTTGTTGTTGACTTTCTTGGCCAGAGACGAAGCAGCTGTATATTCCTCCATCATCTACAGCAGCGTTACTGATATTCACACTTAGCTCGCTGTTCCGTGCTGTGTCATCGCCATTATGCTTCCATCTGTAGTTGCTGTTAGCAGATGAATTCACATTCTCCATCTGTAGTGCCACCGACTCTCCGATATTAGCAATCTGTGTTCGCTGTGTAGGTCGTGTATGGACTGTGCCGTCTGCAATGAAATCACAAAACATCGCAATAATGAGTAATGACCATGAAAACTCACCTGTTACAATCTTTTGTGAGGAAAACTTCCCCAGCTCCATAATCTGTAAATACAACTAAATAAAACCAGTGAGCGAAGAAGAGCAAAGACAATAGATGGATGTATATTTGAAATAATAGGCAGTGCTTGATATCCGACTGCAACGTTTCCTTGCCGTCATATCAGCTTACCATCTTTGTTTAATATGATTGTCTGTATCCTGGTCACATTTTCATTTTGGACAGCTTGAGCGTAGAACACACCCGTTCGGTCAATCCCCGCTGATTCAGGTAACGTACTGGACAGTGTAACTGCACATATCGTCTGTGGATCATCCACAACCATCGATCCTGCTGGTAGTTCGACATTGCTACCTCCTGTGGTCAGTTGTCTGCCGAAGATTATCCCAGCGGAGGCATAGTTAGGACCCTTGTAAGCTTGGATGACTGCAGCGTCGTCTCCAGTCTGGCCAATACGAGCGGGGTTAGCAACCAGAGTAAAATCTACACCGATATCTGGGGAGTTAAATTGATACAAAAAATGTTTAAATATACTGCCGTTGCTGCCTAGGTCTGCTCGAGTGGGACAAATAAAATTCTCATCAAAAATCTTTAAAGGATTTTTCTCGGAAAACAAAACATATCAAGGGATATTGCTTGCAATGTTTCACATAGTAAGCGCACCACTCAAATAAAATGTCCTCTTTAGTTTAATATACTACATTTGAGGTTGTGGCACTTAAATGTATTTTACAATTATTTTAAGCCGTTTCAACGTTCTCATCAAAATGCTATAATGAATTATTCAAATCCAATACAGGAATGTAACGAAAAATATATATTCCATCAATAAAATATTCCAAAATGCAACACTCTTGGGAATTTGATACTCTTGGTAATCCGTTAAAGATTCATAGTAGCTAAAAATGCTAAATATTTCATCATATTTGAAGTTTGGAATCTGTTGTTGAAAGTTATATATTTTTATTTCCCCGGCAAATTTTCATTATGCAAAATGTTGAAGATATTAAATATATCGTGAACCACGATGTCATTTTCCTCGTAACTATAAGACGAATCGTCAAAACAAATTATTATTCTGTCTTTGCTTGCAAACATTTGCATTCGTCTTACCTTCAACAGTAGAAGTGTCTTGGATTTCCACCACCATGACTTCGGCCAGGCTCAGAATACCATTCGTTTTTTGCACACTGACGTATCTAGCGGAGACGATGGGATCCGCGATGAAATCAATCGTTGCTCCGTTAGTTGCCTGAGTTCTTCTGACTGCATCTCCTATCTGTGTGTTCTGTGAGAAATCTGATGGATCCAAACCAGCCCGCACTACAGCACCTGCCAATCTTTTACCTGCAAGTAATTAATTTTGTAACGCCGTAAAGTAATGGGAATTATTTGGACCCACGGGCTTTGCACGTTCCTGGTTATTCAAGAACCCCAATAATGGACTCTATAAAGTTAGATTTGTTTTAATATTTATTTTTTGTTGGTAAAAAGCTTTAATCAACAGTTTTGTGTTTTTAGACGTTTTAAAATGTATTTCTCGAAAAATTTATTTCGAATCTCGTATTGTGCACAACCGATTTCCGACTAAAAACATTTACCCTCGGATGTAAATGCACACCTGAGTTAGTTTGGTTAAATTGAATTAATGACAAAACGCATCACTTTTATGTTTAACATAAATTCTGACTGAACTGCACATCGAAATAGCCCCATATCTGGAAAGGAAATGGATTGTTCGTATATACACTGCGATAAAAATTGGATGGATAATGCTGAAGGCGAACGCCAAAATGGAGAATTTTGTTTTCCAATCGACGAGCGTGGCTTGGAAGACATGTATAGAAAACTTACCATAGCCATCGACTCTGTTGATTATTGTAATTTTCTTCAAGCAGTAGATAGCTTCAAGATCTACTCTCCACCACTGATTCGGGGCATCATCTATAACAAATAATATATCCGTGCACAGTACATAATTACCTCGTCCCAATGGCGTGAATCTGTGTCGGCGAGTGGGGGACTGTGGATGACCATACGGCAAAACCCAGACAATCGTCAAATTCGAAATGTACACGACATCCATATTTGTTGGCTTGCACAATCACAGTGGACATCAATTCATTACGTCAAAATCATCCGTAATTATGAAATTAATCGAATGTGAGATATTGTGTAACCCCTGTAAATTCATTATGCGGGGCGTTTTTAGTGAGACATTTTTCGGTTATTCGTTTTGATGTGTTCGGACAATGTGGCCCTCAGCAAAAGGGATGAATGACGGAAAGAACCAAATTCAGAAGCTTATATAATACAACATCTCTGCTGGAATAAAGGACAATAAATGATTATTTTGTGCAATTTTCTATTGCAATTGATACAAATTACAATAACCCCTTTCCGAAATAGCCTAAATAATATCTGTTATGCAACACCTGAATTAATCCCCGTCATTGGTGTGTCGTTGATCACGTGTCATTGAAGTATTTGTCCCAACCCACGGCCCGGCCGCACGGCAAAAATAGAAGATCCATTCCACGGTAAATAGAAGTTCCATTGCACGGTCACACTTTTGACGTCACCCTTTTGGATTCATTCAGGTTTTTTTTTATAAAACAAATAATGAATGTTTTATATTCATGCAGTGGAAATAGTAATTTTATTCAGTGACTGATGGTGTAATGTACCATTCAAGTCCACTTCTGGGACTCTCTTACCTGTTAAGCCTTACATTTGCATATTTCTCGCCCAAGGCTCCCAATCGCTAGCGTTTTATACCACAGTAAATAGCGCTTTCAGCGCCCAGGCCCTCTGTACCCTCATCAGTCTGGTACCCTCGTCCTCTTTTTCTCTAGCGCTCACACGAGTGAGACGTAGTTTTCTCAAGCTCCCGAAGAATTTGCCTTTTCCTTCCGTATATTGCTAAGTATCGATTAAAGTAACATTAAAATTAGTTGTACCCAAAGTGTGTGTCGTCTTTTCATTTTTTTGTGAAGAAAAATACCACTCCTTGGATATATTTTTGCTGTTTTCGTTACTGGAAAATCACCAGTTCCATCGGTTCGTTGTAGAATCATGGCAGAGTCACGCGAGGCTAAGCACGTCATTACTCCACCTAATTTTGTTATGTGCGGCGCTTGTCGCTGCATTAAACTCCGGGCACGTGTGGACGCTCATGATTTATGCCCACGTTGCCGTTCATGCACCCCAGAACATACATGCGAGGTATGCCATACTCTGGGAGAAGACGAATGGGACGCAGTTTCGGCTTGGCTTAATTCACGGTCGCCATCGGTGGACTCGGCAGTGAGTAATTCTCCCGGGTCATCACAACGCAAACGATCGACCAAGAAAAAAAAATCGGAAACACCTAAGTCGTTTACCGGGGACACGCTTTCCGGGCCTCTGGCCCACGATAAGAATACCAAACACGCTGGGGGTGCGCCTTCCGGGCCTCCAGTCCCCATGCGTACTTCAGACAGCAGCCGACCAAGCCACCCATGTACCGGAAACACGCTTTCCGGGCCTCTAGCCTCCGGTACACCGGGCGCAGGGAATAGGGCTACACCTGCCGTGCCTCTAGCCCCTACTCCCGGTGAAAAAAAGCAAAAAATCGGACCACGCCGCCGGGTCCGGAGCTATGCCTTCCGGGCCTCTAGCACCGGTGCCCCGGAGAGGGATAACATGGTGGCTCCTTCCGGACCCCTAGTCCCGACTTCCGGCAAAGCGTGCGGTAAGAAAGTGGGCCGAATCGGGGACGAGCAGACGTCCTCCGCGCACTTAGCCCCCAGTGCCGGAAATATCACGCTGGACCGAGATGATCCGGATAATTTCCGGGATACAGATCCGACCAGGATGGAAACCAGGTCGCCCGGGACTCACCGGAGCCGGAGAAATACTGTTTCGAAGGGTAAGCATCGCCATCACAAGAAACCCCGGCGCCGTTATTATAGCTCCAGTTCCTCTTCGGTGGAGTCCGTCTCGAGCTATTCTTCGGGCTCCCGACGCTCGCGTCGCCGGAGCTCTCGATCTAACAGCATAAAACATATGTTGTTACAGGGTTGCAGCAGTTATCGGCCACGATAACATCGTTTGTTCCTAAACCGACTGGGCAAACTTCGGTCAACGAACCTATTACTGTTAGCCTTTCAAAGGATCATGAGTCAGGTGATCAGATGTCAGTTTTTCCCTCCGATAATTTATCTTCGGATTCTGACAACCGTCCACGTCCCCGTGCAGCCGTAGACAAACAATCGGCTTCAGCTGAGGGTCACAAAGATCAATCCGCTGAGCCCGAGTGCCGGGGGGGAGGGCGAAATGCCTAAAATTCCCACGGTCGTCTCGTCCAACGACGAGTCTGCCATTTCGTTACCTCTTTCCGCTTCTGACCAAAGATTACGGGTATTGATGAAAGACATGGTCAGAGTGCTCAACATATCATCGGCCGACGAACCGACGCCAGATGAAAGTGGCCGCCGATCCTACAAAAAACGTACGGGCCCGGCTGACTCCCGGACTCAGGATTTCCCGGTCTTTCCGATTGATCGATCTTGTGCCAATCGGATCAAGACATTAGCGGCGGTAAGCGACGAAGGATACACGGCCGTTTCGGGTACCGCGGTCTGATTTTGAGGAATTTCTTTCAGTCCCGGCTATGTCAGATAAGGTCAAAGATAAAATCGCGGCTGATTCTACTGGCCGTACGTCACGTAAATCTCCATTTGTCAGCCGTGAAAGAAATAAAATGGAGGACACTCTTGCAAAAGTTGACACAGCATCCCGAGCAGGGTTGCGAGTGTCTTGTATTCTGCAGCTTTTGTCTGAGTTTCTTGTCTATTCTTGTGAAGCAGACTCTCCGGTATCTCCTGAGACAACAGAACCAGCATTTCGTTGCTTGGACGATTGTCTCCATATTTGCATCGACCAGTTTGTCCGAGTGTCCATGTGTGCTACTACAGCTCGTAGTGCCAATGTTCTGGATGCCATTTTTCTCCCATCCGAGGGAGCAAGGGCACGCCTTGAATCACTTCCCCTTTTGGGAACAGATTTGTTCAATGGGGAGTTTCAAGAGGCCATGGGGGCCGAGGCCAAACGTTTGGAGGCTACAGACAAAATAAATCTGCGAAAGCCTACAAGCGCAAGCACCACATCTGTTAGGGGGAATAAACAACCTGCTAGTACTGGTAGCCAGCGGTTTCCCCGTAAGCCTTTGAAGCCCTTTCGTGGGCGTGGCCGTGCCTTCACATCCAAACCTAGTCCACAGGATCCGGATAAATTAAATCCATCCAGTTCATCCACCACCGGGTCGCGAGAGCGCACCTTTCGACCCTCATACACTCCCTAGCCTAAATCAAGTTATGGAGGCTACCGCCGGGGATCCTTGCGTAAATGACTATTCAACTACTACGGCCTACTACACCGGGCCAGTAGGAGGCCGTCTCAGACATTTCGCAAGGATTTGAGCCGTTTTCTGTCAAGACAAGTGGGTACAGGACACCGTAAGGCAGGGGTATGCATTAGAATTTACAAGCACACCCCATCGGGCTTTACTCCACATCCAACTCCTATTCCAACAGACAAGCAAAAACGCCTTGCACTAGAAAACGAAATTCAGACCCTACTCCATAACAGGCAATTCACCTGGTTCAACGGGGAGATACCAGGCACGGATTCCACTCGTCATTCTTCCTAACACCAAAGAAGAACCCCGGCGAGTGGCGTCCCACACTGAATCTGAAACCCTTAAACAAGTATATACGGCCCAAAAGATTCAGGATAGAGACGCTGCGTACAGTCCTCGATGCTCTAAAGGTATCAGCTTGGGCATCCTCACTAGTTACAGGATGCATACCTACACGTTCCAATTTCAAAGGACCATGTTCATTTCCTGCGGTTTCGGTACGACGGGAAAACTTACGAGTTCAGTTGCCTTCCGTTTGGTCTTTCAACAGCCCCAAAGGTGTTTACAAGAATAGCAAAAACTGTTGCATCAATTCTGCGGAAAAGGAACATTCAGATTTTTGTTTACCTCGACGATTGGCTCGTCGTGGGCTCAACCAGAGACGAGACTCTAAGGGCAATCAGTCTAACGCAAGATCTAGCAGTCCGGTTGGGCTTTCTGATAAATCAGAAAAAGTCTCATCTGGAACGGCCAGTCTATTTAGGTGCCGAGTTGGATCTCCTGCAGGGCGTTGCTGTGCCTACACAGGAAAGAATTCACAACCTAATAGAGTGAGTAACACTTTTCCTGCCTGCCAAAATAGCCCCGGCCATAGCATGGTTACGTCTTCTGGGGCTCATGGCCAGTATGGTGGACATAGTTCCGTGGTGCTGACTAAGGCTGCGACCCATTCAGCTCCATCTCCTTGCCCACTATCGGCCAAAACTGCATTCAATAACTCATCTCGTACCAGTCGTTCAAGATATTCAACCACATCTACGTTGGTGGCTGAATCCATCCAACCTCAACATAGGTCTGTCTTTCTTTTGAACAACCAAACCGAAAATGACCTGAATGACGGATGCTTCCGACCACGGCTGGGGGGGGGGCATCTCGGCATCGGCACAGAATCAGTTGCGTGGAATTGGAACCCAGACAAGAGGATCCTCCATATCAACGTCCTCGAGCTACTGGCTGTCAGAAAAGCACTGATGCACTTCCAGCGCAAGATAAAAGGGCACGCAGTGCTAGTAAAGTCCGACAACTCCACCGTTGTCTCCTACATAAACCGTCAAGGAGGCACACGGTCCCCTCAGCTTTGTCTACACACTTGGGATCTCCTAATGTGGTGCATCACGAACGACATAACGTTGACGGCACTTCACATTGCTGGCAAGCTGAACTTCATTGCAGATTCTCTCTCCAGAGGGAAAATAATCCCGACAGAATTGACACTACATCCAACTTTAGTCCAGAACATTCTTTCCAAAGGCTCGATCGCCCGCACACAGATCTGTTTGCGTCGGCCTCCAACAACCATCTGCCGGTATACTGCGCACAAAGTCCCGATCCCCATGCGTGGGCAATGGACGCCCTTTCCATAAGCTGGACAAACATGTTCGGATACGCATTTCCACCAATCTCTCTCCTTCCGAAGGTCCTGAGGAAGATAGAGTCGGAACATTGCAAAATAATCCTCATCGCCCTATTCTGGCCCCGTCAGCCTTGGTTTCAGAAGATAGTCAATCTTCTGATTCACACACCAATAATACTGCCTCGGAGAGTAGATCTTCTGGCTCAACCCCGCTCTAAAATCCTACCGCCAGAGCCAGAGACACTTCACGTGACGTGTTGGCTATTGTCGAGCAGTCTATCCGAGCAGCAGGACTTTCGGCAAATGCTTCCACCATTGCTGCCCAAAGTCGTAGGGCCTCAACACGACAGTCATATAACAGCCCACTACGACATTATTATACATGGTGCAGAGATAAGTCTGTTGATCCATCCACAGCATCTGTAGGACAAATCAGTGATTTCCTCATGGAACGGTTTACGCAAGGCCTCTCTGTTTCCACAGTTCGAGGCTACCGTTCCGCAATAGCGGCAGTTCATACAGGTTTTTCTGACGGATCACCAGTTTCAAACAGCATCCTCTTAAAACATCTGCACCGGGGTATGTTTGTCAGTCGCCCTCCGCGACAACGATACCTTCTTGGGACTTGGGGTCAGTTCTGTCGGCATTGACGAAGCCGTCATAATTAAATGAGCACCTTGCTAACGCCTCTCTGCTAAACTTGACGTTAAAAACAGTTTTCCTGATAGCAGCAGCTACAGCCAGGAGACGCAGTGAGTTGCATGCCCTTACCATAGAACAGGGTCATGTACGATGGGAACCACATGGAGTTCGACTGATTCCTCATAAAATGTTCCTGACAAAGAATCAGTCATCAACTTTCCAACCATCTGATATTTTTATTCCGGAGATGAAACCTCAATCCGAGATGACAAACGCTGGTGTCCGGTTCGGGCCCTCAAGTGGTATTGCTCCCGAACTAAGCCTCTCAGGGGTGAGACCACCCTGCTGTTCATTACGACAACTCAGCCTTATTCAGGGGCATCACGGGACACGATCTCCCGATGGATAGTTAGGACAATTGACCCTTCTGTACCAGATTGGCCTACACATTCAGAGAACACTGCCAATGCTCATGACACAAGAGCATTAACGACATCATGGGCATTTTTGAAAGGCGTTCCACTACCAAACATTCTACAGGCAGCTGCTTGGAAAACGCCATCAACCTTCGCCTCGTGCTACCTGAAGGACGTTCTAGTCTCAGAAGGTCAAACGGGACGAGTAGCTCGGCTGTCATGGCATCTCATACCAACCGTCAGGACAGGTTGACTGCCTCCAACACCTAGTCGACTGGAACTCCATATACCTGTAGTAGGTGAGTTCTTTTCCACATACTTTGGTAATATCTACCTATCAATTTTTGTGAGGACACGAGGGGACATACCAATCTAATCCTGGTAGTGCTTAGAACAGTAGTACCTATGGCAGCCTCGCCCTAGCCCTCCTCCTATAGACGGTGCTAATCTATGCAAATGTAAGGTTTAACAGGTAAGAGAGTCCCAGAAGTGGACTCCCCAAAATCAAAGGTGATTTGTGAGTCCATGAGGGGACGATACTTACCTGATACTTACCTCCCACCCTCCTTTCCCCACTTGGGGCTCAGCTGGCAGGGATTACTAAGTGCTCGCGATAGAGATAAAGAGGCGAGGGTACCAGACTGATGCGGGTACAGAGGGCCTGGGCGCTGATGGCGCTATTTACTGTGGCATAAAACGCTAGCGATTGGGAGCCTTAGGCTAGAGAAATATGCAAATGTAAGGTTTAACAGGTAAGTATCGTCCCCTCGTGGACTCACAAATCACCTTTGATTTGGGGGATTCCATTTCACTTCGACTCGTGGAATGGAAAATTCTATCTGACACATTTTGAAGTTTTTATATTAAAATCCCGCATCTAAAACTTGAGCTTCTATCCTAAGAACTGAGAAGTAATGAAAAATATATGGTGGAAAGGCAACCTTGTATGTCACACTGCCAGCATGGGCGTAGATCACTTCTGCATAAAGTTAACAAGCATTACATTCACTGTGTGGACTTCCGAACAAAAGAGGTCCACATAATCCAGGTAGCAGCGACGTTGTGTGGACTTGCCCACGTCCACACAGTGTTTCCCCCTCTCTGGAAAACAGGTTTAGAGGCATTTTGGGTTATTAGTCGCAAAATGAAGAGGAACACTCAAGGGTATCATAGTAAAAAAAAATGAGTTGAAAGATTTTTCACAGTGTGCGTAAAATGATTTTTTTCCCACAGGTTTTTCTTAACTACACGAAACAGAGAAATGTCCACACCAGGTATGTAACGTAAACATATATGGGTAGGTTGGTTATCCATTCAGACTGAGGACATGGGACAATGGGATGTGAGCGATTTCAATGGGCTCGAGGACCCAGGTCCTCGGGAGATTTTCGTGTGCTAACCTTAACGTGTAGTAACCTTGGGAGCTGTTGAGAAAAAGTTGCAGTACAAACAAAAGGGAACAAAAGAAGGAAAGGGGCAGGTCCTCATGTGTATAGTAGAAACGAGCTGGGTGCGTGTGTATATGTGGGGATGTCAACACCCCCGTCCCCACCTGAATACCTGATCGGCGCCCATTATTACCAGTATATAACAATGCATGATTCCCATTTTTAAAAGAAATAACGTTTACTTGTGTATGAAATGGTGTATAAATTGCCATCTACTGCATTCTCCGGAAGCGAATCAGCTGAATCAGTAGTTGTACTCTGATTAGTCGGCTTGTCCCGCAGATTGAGGGCCAGACCTGTGTTAAAGGATATGATTAAAGTAAACAGTGTCCATACTTTCAGTTCATATAAGAATGCATTTGAAATTCTGCCACACACATATGTAGCGCGATATGAGACGGAGGGACTCTTCTCCTTTGTGTTGGTTATTGTGTTACCAGAATCTCAGGAATTCTTTTGAGATATATATAGGTGGTGTGTTAGGTAACAATTGTCTAGGGTTTACATAGGGTATAGGGAGATTTTTTTTTTTGGGGGGGGGTACCCCTTTGTCTCATATCGCGCTTGGTATACCCACACGAAGGCGATTTCGTAAAGCCTCATTCTCATTCTTGGGACAGCATCAAGACGGCTGTATACACGAAATATATCAAAAACAAATTGTATTGCTTTGTTTAAGATTCGCTTTAGAATGATGACAGGTGCATTTCAAACAAGTATCTGCTACTTTCGTACAAATCGCTCTAATTGTTTTTCCCAGGAATGTGAAGATTATTGTCAAATCATTTTGTCTCGAGTCCGCCTTGTGGGGAGACTACAAAAGGAAACCTTTTCAACGTTTACAACGTGGAAACCCTATTTGCTAATGTTAACACTTACTTGGGGCCCTTGGGTACAATAATATGTATCAAAATAGCTATTTTAGTTCCATGAAATTTTCAATTAATCTTGAATTATAGGGCTGTGTGCATGGGAGTCACCGGATTTTTTCCGGGGGGCAAATTTTTTTTTCCAAAAAAAATCCTTAACTTTTTCGTTATATTCTTTATTCATAATTTTTCCGAGCGTGAGCAGGGGAGCATTTGCGCTACCCCCACCCCCCATCAAATTAACATCAATATGGCTCCGCACCTCTTGTTCCTTTTTTCCCCTCTTTTTTTGGTTTTGTTTTCGGGGGGGGGGGGGAGTGCCCCCTTGCCTCCCCCTTGCGACGCCCATGGCTGTGTGGTAACTTCAGTTTCCCCCACTTAGCATAAACAAAAGAACAAGTGGTAACAGTCGTTGTCTACCAATTTTATTTCAACTGTAAAGTAAACTTTCCAGGCAAATCATTGATAATTTCCAGTTATCAATGATACATTTCGTGACCCGCATGTAAAGAGTTATGCGCAAAGCCTACGGAAATATGTTTTGCACTTTCAATTTCATGTGTGACATAAAAAAACCTATAATCTGAATCACAGTCTTTCATTTTGTATAGTCATGTAACAAAGACAGGTATCCGTTCGCCGCGTGCAGCTCAGGATTTGCGCTTCATACATTTTGTTGAATTCCTTTGATGCCTTTCTGGTCGGGTGTACATTGCAGGTACTGGTGCGCGTATTGGGTCTTAGAACTTGTAAGTGTCATTCAAACCTATAATTTAGTTGCTTTTGATAGTTTGCTCTTTATAAATGTGTGTAAATAGTTATTTGATTTATTGTGTATTAAAACAAAAGTAAATCCGGGAGGCACCCCTGAAGTCTGCCGAGTGCTTGCTGGTTGTTATTCTTTTGGTCGTTCGTGGCCCCACGCCCCGCCCTGCTTGACCCCACGCCCCGCCCTGCTTGACCCCACGCCCCGCCCTGCTTGGCCCGTTACAGTCACATACATGTAATAGGCAACCTCGTCCCCAGTGCTTCTTTGTTTCCAGCCTCGTTCCCAATAGTAAGCACTGGATAGCAAACTTTCTTCTTGCATGTATCTTGATTCGATACCGCAATTGGCTACAAATGGATTTATATGGTGCACTTGGTGTTGTTATTCACAACGTGCAGTACGTATTTTCGCGATTATTCGTCCACGCCTTCTCGAAAATATGCATTTCTTTTTCAACTTGTTCATATTAATATGAAATGTGATACTGCATGTTGTCTCGTTAAGATCGTAACAGTTTGATTTCAAAAATCGTGTTTTCGTAACTCACGCCATGCTCGCGCTGTAACGAATTGATTCTGTTTATACCCCAGACGCCGCATACAAAAACAAACAAAAATGCAACGCACAGGCAGGCACCAGACTATTCTCATTTACATACGTGTTCAAAAATCTTGCACATGCAAATGATCCAATACCAGGGTGAGAGAGCAGGTAGTAGCTGGCGCGTTCTGCTTGACACCCTGGGGACGAAGTTGATGTACTAGGTTCTTACACAGCCGGTCTAACAAGTCTTATCATGTGTCATAAGCACGCGTGATAACGGGTTTACCACACTCTGAGAACACGCTAGCAAACAGACAAACTTGCAACTACAGTGTGTATGATTTTTTTAAATATACATTTAGAGAATTTTTAAAAAAATACTAGCTCCTATTTTCTTTAATAATAACTTTATTTACGCTTCAAGAATGATTGAGTATTGATTTGGAACAGCCTAAACTTATTCTCCAATGATTATGTAAACGAGTTGCATAATCAATGAATCATAGGTTCCAATTAACTATTGATTGGCAAAGAACAATAGGTAAGTTGGCCAACAGAGAGATTGCTGTCATGTTAATCTCCTTTCATCCACTTTACTGCAAATTGGACCACATTGACATATCATCCCCTGTCCATATCTCTAAATGTAGGTGTCCGAATGAAATAGAGAAAACAGCATTGTGTTGATAAATAATCATTCTTTAAGAGTATATAAGTTGTTATTAAACACAATAGGAGCTATTATTTGTATTTTTTGTTTTCCCTACATGTATACATGTTTATCTATATATATAAGAGAGAGTTTAACTCGGCCTCCGAGACGATGTTTGCTCATGAAAGGATCCGAGACCGCGGGCTCCCGCGGGCTCCCGCGGGCTCCCGCGGCGCCAAAATCGCTCCACGTCCGTGGAAAAATGCGGAGGGTGTCTTCCGCCGGGTCGGACGCTTCGGGTCGTCCTGATTTTCCCGTACGGACCGGCGATCCGTTTAGTCGATTTTTCGTGACTGCGTTTTGCGCAGGAATTTGCCGTCGTGTGCGCTTTCACGTTGACTGCCTGGCCGCCCCCTGTTCTGGCTTTTTCTGCGTGTCTAGACTGTGCGAGGTCAGCGAGGTCAACGTAGGGGTTGCGTTTACGTGTTCTACTCGGCCATTCTGCAAAAGCGTTCACCAAATTGTGGATGGGGTGACCTTGGTAAAATATTTTTTCTCCATGGTGCGTGGCCACCAAGTGCTCCTATTCTTTCATATGCTTCGCTTGCCGCCCCTGCGCCGAGTGCAACGAATACTCAGAAGGACTACACATTAAGTATGCCTTGCGCGGTCTGACCAATCGAAAGTCTACACTGCGTAGTATTTCCGGGCTATGCAAAACTGTCGATGGCAACGCGTACTGCAGCCTGCTCCACACCCTGGAAACGAGGTTGGGTCTACGGTGCTCGCTATTTGAAGCGCAAGCATGTGACGTGTAGAGTGCTGTTGCTTCCATAATGTGTTTACAGCTCCATGCTTCCACCACCAAGGCTGAGCGTTGTGAGTTCGCTGCCCGCCACGTATAATCATGGAGGAATAAGAATTCCTCCATGGTATAATTCAGTGTCGTGTTATAATTTCGGGGGTCTGTTTTAGGTCAACGAAGGATCGCCGCGGTCTCGGATCCTTTCAGAAGCAAACATTTCTCGGAGGCCGAGTAAAACTTGCTCTTATATATAGATGGTTGAACCAACTTGAATAAAAGTTGAATCGCAGACGGTCTCGCAAATTGTAAGAAGTTCAAGTTTACGTTTGTTGAAGAGTCCAATACTGAAACTTAATTATGACCTTCCTCCATGATTCAGACCGTTTGTAATTTTTTGGTAACACTCAACATTTTCATTTTAAATGACACCTTCACTTTTTATTGCATTATGATTTATTGTCAAACTGTACAACCAGCCTTCGCCTGTGTACTACAGTAACCTTTTCACTACGTTTTCCAAATGCGACTGCCTCACAAAAAGCCAATTTAACAGACGAACGGCAACATTTACAGACAGTTGCCATGGTACATAATTATCATGTGCGTAAATCGACGGGGGACAGGGGACCCCCCCACACACACACACTTTGAGGGGGGACATTGTTTGGTCCCCCCCACACTTTTTCTTCCCCGAATAAAAATATTGTAGCCTACAATAATGATTCTAATGCTCAGAATACATGTAGCTGATTCAATTACTCAAAACTCAAAACTTTCACAGATGATCTTTCGCTCAAATTGGTTTTAGTGATCAGAAATTGCCTCAGATCACACCACAGAAATTGCTATTCTTTAACTGCATGTCTCACCAACTATATCCCCCATTTACATTTAACTCCCCACATTTTCATCCCCAACACTACGCCCTACCCGATCTATGATCTGGTAAACCAGCTTGTACACTCTATAAAGCTGATCTAAGCAGTAATCGGCAAGGTGCAAGTTCGTGATTTTTTAAAAGTCAAATGTATGTGTTTATATTTTATACAACACCTGCATTAATCCCAGTCATCTGATTGGTGGATCGTTGATCACATGTCATTGAATTATTTGTCCCGCAATTATTTGGCGCACAGCGCACAGTGCAATGGAAGTCTATTGCACGCTGAATAGAACTTCCATTGCACAGTGTCACTGCCGCTGGTGTGGTGGTGGCGCTGTTTCAAATCGAGATAAATTGAATATGATTGTTCTCAACCTGTGGAACAGTTTGCATAAATTAAATATGATAAACTTGTCGAACTTTTCAACAGTTTTTTACCCGAATAAATTGGCTATTAAAAGTCAACCAATCAGATGACAAGGATTTATTCAGGTGTTATATAAAACAAATAAAGAATGTTTCACGTTCGTGCAATGGAACAGATAAATTGTAACAGATAAAATGTTCCATTCCACTCGGCCTCGCCTCATGGAATGGAACATATCATCTTCACCTCACGAAATTATTCTTACCATTGCAATCACAAACATTCATTATTTGTATAATACAATGTACTGAACTAACAGCGACCGCGCTTTGATAGATGACGGCAAATCGAAATATTTTGTAAAACATGATAATGAATCAATAGTGTGTATCCAGCTTTTGATGTGTG